CTCTTAGTAAGAGGAAGATATTTTATGGTAGCAAATACTAACAGTAACCACCAGCTGGCAAGGCTGTCAATGGCTCCCTCTTCCGAGATTGCTTGCAAACAAGCTAATACCGAATTTGACTTTCTGACAAATAACAGCACCGTTTTACCAACGGAATAAATCGTAAAGGTATTACAGTGGTCTGGATGAGTGCCTCAACGTACTTGATTCTGAAGAGAATATGCATTCAAAACTGTAACAGTGTAATGAAAAGCAATGAATTAACAATATTTTCCATAAAAACAGTCTGAAGATGTAAGCAACACAGCCCGGATGTTTCAGGCACAGTGGATACGACTGAATTATTTGGAAATTTAAGCGCTACAGATGTAGATCAAGAACAGAAAAATTTTCGTGAAATTCAGCTTTCTATATTGCCTGGTTACTGAAATCGTTTCTCGCCGTCCGTATTTAATTTCTGGGCGTACGGGAACGTTGATTTTAGGTTCCGAGGCTCACAAGCGCACCGGAAAAATACTCATAAATTTTCAGCCTTGTTGCTTCTCTGGCTGCAGAACTGGAAGTGAGTAACGGAACATAAATACAGACAATTTCTCGACAACATGCATTTTTGCATTGCATCAGTTATGCAACGAGAACACTGAATAGAATCTGCAAAAATTTTTGGATGGAAAGGATCTGAAACTAAATTTATTACTGTTTCCACGAGATAAGAATTCAGTGTCTTGTTTGAACCAATGCATTTACGATGAGGTACGGGTTTCGGATAGCACTGTGCTGGAACAGCAAAAACCGCAGGTTTCTCTATTTTCTGAAGAGCCAACGTCTCATTTTTCATATCAGTTGAACATATACCTTTCATTTTTATGCATTTTGTGCTGTGCAACAGCTACATAAAACACAGGCCTGTCTATGTGTGTTTGTGTGGATGTGTGTGAGCGTAGGTGTGTGCGTGTGCCCAAGTGTATTTTATCCACAACTTTCAATTCGAGAACCAAACAAGTCAGGAAGCTAAAAATTTTAGGAAATTTTCCCCGCTCATGTGTGACCCCGCAAATGTAATTTCAGTTTTCCCCTGCGTCTGTGTACCACGTTCAACACGTGGAAGTTTTGATGGGGAAAATTATCTTTAAAACCATGAAAGCTAGGAAGCTAAAATTTCAGGACAATGAATCCCGCTCAAGTATGTCCTCGCAAAAAGGTTTAAATTGTCTGGGTCCCACGCAAAACATCGTGAAAATTTTGGCAGGGAAAATTACCATCTCGGGAACTTCGAGATGCCGCGTAAAACTTTTGGGAAGAAAAATCATCATCTCGGGAGCCAGAGCAGCTAGGAAGCTGAAAATTTCAGGAAGATGTTTTCTGCCTATGCAGGGGCCTCACACATTCAAATTCAGTTTCCAAGTATGCCAAGTTCTCACACATGACCATGTGAAAGTGACTTGAAAGCAAGAAAACTGGAGTGTTGAAATTTCGAAGAGATGTCCACCATTCAAAGCTACAACTTCATCTTTCAGTATGCTTTTGTTAAACTTTCAGCAGAAAATTTCAAAACAACGATTTCAACTATTTTTGCACAGACCAAAGTGTAAGAAAGTGAAAATCCTTATAGGCAAACGTTCGTTAGACGTAACCACACAAGACGTATGATCGCATCGGATAGCCTGGTGAGCGCTGCTACTTATTAATTAATAGATCTATATTTGCTAATATTTATTCATTCACCGTATGGGACGAGTGTCTTCATTTTACTAATACCGCTCGATAATCTAGACGATCTTGGTGATATTTTCAAAGCACAAAATTTTGGTCGCTCAAGAAACAAATCAAGGTATTGAGGCAAGTCGCGCATCTCATACGCAACCGCCAACAAGCGACTGCTATTTACCGTAAGAGAAATAACAGTTCGAATCATCTTTGACGCAATAGAATACCTGCATGGTGGAGGTGGCGAGCTACAATTACAGACAGGTGTTCATTGTAGTATGGTCCCAAATAAATTTTCACCGCAACTATGAAAGCTTTCCTTCCATAAAATATGTTTAAGTCGTCTCATTAGACAAAATGAAGTCGGGGCACGTGGGCGAGAAAGCAATGAAGAAGTTTACTGAGAATAATTTAGTGGCAGAGGATGCAGCGGGCTGGAGCATTAAATCGTCAGGTGTTTACATCGCATCTTGCAAAGCTAATTCAGAAAAAACGATGAAGTTAGAAATGAGATCCAGAAGGTGTCGGGCGAGATAAAATAAATAAATAAATCCATAATTCGCACAGAACAAGCAGCTCATTAATTCAACGCCAACAATTCTTTGGAGTACTCGTTCCACTCAGGCCCCCCAGTATCGGCCACACTCTTGTTTAGGCCTTAGCGACTTTACAAAACTAGCCCTCAGTAGGCAAACCAATACCTGATCGGAAATGAGACAATGACTTTTATGCTACTGATTTCTGCAGGAAAAAAAAAAGAGATTTGTCATCCTTATTCTAAATAAGAAAATTGGCCAACGCACGGGTTGCCCGTGCGAAGATGCGTTTTTTGCAAAGTTCCCCGCAATTTTTGTGACTATCGGAATCGGTTTTTTTGGTAAATGCTTCAAGCTAAACTAATTAAGATTGGTTGTCAGAACTGATAGGAAACACCCGCACAAAATTTCAGCTTTCTAGTTTTCCTGGCTCCTGAGTTAGCAACTTACTGGAAAAAATTTTTACGGG